TTTGATTTGATGTTATTGTTCTTGTTTAACCTTAATTTTGTTTTTTGTGTGTTCCCGTATGGTCGCCGCGCCAACAGGCATCAGGATGGTGGTCACCCCAATCCTCCCCGGCGACCTTCACTTCTGCGGTTTGCAGAAGTAATGGATGGATGGATGGTGGTGTCTTTCTTTCATTTTTAAGAAATGACAGGAAGATAATTGTAGTGTTACGTGAAGTTCAGGACTAAACAACAAAAACAACAACAACAACAAAAACAACAACAACAACAAAAACAACAACAACAACAACAAAAACAACAACAACAACAACTCCACTACCACAACAACAGGAAAGTCTTGACAACTTTCCCCCGGCTTGCATGCGGGAAGGCCCCCCTTCCTCCTCCTCCTTCTCCATCCCCCATCCTGCTCTTGCTCGAACGAGAAACGAATTTCGATTATAACGAGTCGTTTCTCTTTTCAGCGCCACTCCCCTCCGCCCGCAGTGCGGCCCGGCGTGGGCCCGGCGCCTGCCGCGAGTCCCGGGCGGAAGAAGAAGGGACGCGAGGCAAATCCGTGTTGTGTTCGCAGGATGCCATGCTATTACCCTTCTGCTAACAACTAACCAAGCCACCAGGTTGAGGGATGCACAATGGTGAATCTTTCAAGGCGTTATATCGGCCGTGCATCTTCGGGGTTGGAAAACGAGCAAAGCTTGACCACATTGTGGCCACGCCTCTCTGGTGTTGAAAACAAACAGACTGTGTAACACAGAAAGGGGTAGTTGCCCCGGTATGTACGGCTACTATTATTAGTCCAGTAACACTCTTGCGGTGTGTCTCGGCCGCCGCTGCTGCACCCTCCAGCCGGCCAGAGGGGCAGGTAATAAAGTGGGCCAGGTGGGAAATAGGCTCGAGGCGTGGCGGGGTGTGGCGGGGCGTGGTGGGGCGTGGCGGGGCGTGGTGGCTAGTGGCTTTGGCCTGTGGTGGCCTGCTGGCGTGCAGCCGGCCTTGACCCGGCCGGGCCAGCGCCCCGTGCCTCTCCTCGGGGTCCTTCCGAACCCTTGATGAGTACATAATATGCCGCTGTAGACCGACAGCAGCGCGAGGGGTGCCGCGCCCTCTCGCCACCGACACGCACCCCGCGCGAGAAAAAAACTATTAGGTTAGCCTCGGGGGCAGGCGGCCCGAGACACCCCCACCTCCACCCCCCACCCCCCAACCTGACCAGACCATCGCAGCCATCGCACCTGCTTAGCAGGGCGGGCGCTTACTTCTTGATCCCCGTGGGTTCAACACACCCAGACAAGTGGATTTTGATCTGAACTCTACTGATGTTTGCTATATAAAGAGACCAAAAAAAATAGTTTGAAAATGTTCTTGGACCGTGATTCAAAACATGTTCTAGGAGTCAGGTGGTGTTCTGTGTGCAATTGTGCAGTACTGCAGTTGTGCTATAGACTAAGCAGGGATGAAGAAAAAACAAACAATCAGAAAAACAACACAAATCTCTTTGTTGTTTTTTTTTGGTGGGGCACTACGATGCGCTGCAGCTCGCCTTGCCTCCACCGCCCATCGCGCACTGGGGCGCACACTGGCACACACGGCATACCTGCCAACTGGCGCAAACAAAGCAGGAGTGCACACGGGACCCCATCACATCCCCCCCGCCATTAGGCGCATGTGTGCCGCACACAGAGCTGTGTCCGAGTGGCTCATCCCGGCCGGCCAATCGGGCGGATTACAACGGAAACTGGTTTTCTACTATACCCCTAATTTTAGACGAGCTTTGGAAAAGTAAAAGGTATACCGTTGCACCGTTCTGTAGCAGTGTAAAAATAATGCTGACACAAATGTCTTCGTAAAGTTAAATTATTTCATCCATGCATAATGTCGTTAAAGGACGAGCAGTTTTGCCCCCACTGTTAAAAATATTTCATTACATTTTCATTACATGTTGTGAAGCTATTTTCATTAGATTTTCGTAATGATATTTCATAACTTTTTCATTACGTATTGTGAAACTTCATTAGAATGTAATGAAATTTAACGATACGTAATGAAAAAGTTATGAAATATCATTTCGAAAATCTCATGAAAATAGCTTCACAATCACAACATGTAATGAAAATGTAATGAAATATTTTTAACAGTGCTGTTCTGCCAGCGTGCTTTCTTTCCCGCTGGCGTTTAGAGCCGTGTCGCCTGCAAATCCATCATCCCCTTGATCATCACAAAAACATGGAAAATTTCTCCATCAGCTGCTTAGTTTCGCTTTTGCTTCCCCTTCTTTTTAACTGTACATAGCCGTATCAGCTTCGCGCGCCAAGCCAAGCCAGCCGAATATGGCCTCTGAAAAAAGGGAACGATAACTAGAAATCGATTCCGCGCATGGGATGAATAGGGTCTCCGGACCCGGCCCGGGAGCAGGCAGCGGCAGGAGAAGAGTATCGGCCACGTGCCTGCGCCTACCACCCTGAAAGTCCAAAAGCACAGTTTAAAAATGCAAGACAAAAGAGTTTTACAGTTTAATCTGCCAAACTAAAGAGGTATACAGTTTATTTACTTGTCGAAATAGGCCTATAGTTAAGTATTGTTCAGATTTGCCGTTGTTCAAACTGCATTTTCAAAGCTTGATGTTGAGTAATATTTCAGTTTTGAGATTTGACAATATATCCGTTGTACTGTGTGAACCCTGTGACCTGTGACCTGTATCATTTGATTTGATGTTATTGTTCTTGTTTAACCTTAATTTTGTTTTTTGTGTGTTCCCGTATGGTCGCCGCGCCAACAGGCATCAGGATGGTGGTCAAGTCCAGCCGCAGCACGCCCATCATGAGCCAGCAGGGCCGCTCCAAGGAGGTGAGTAGCAGACGCACGCGCGCGAGTGGGGTTGGAAAATTCTCCAAACGTCTGGAAAATTTCCGGGGAAAGTTCCCCAAAATTTCAAAAAGATTCCGAAAATTTTCCGAAGAATTTCCCAAAAGAGCTTTCAGAATATTTACGGAAATTTTCACGGAAATTTCAAAGGCTTACATCCCTACGCACGAGCGTACGCCACGGCCACCTTGACCCCCCGGCAGCCCAGGCCACGCGGGGCGCACGCGTGCGTAGCGGGCCGGCCTACCTGCCGGGCGCTGGGCGGGAGAGAGAAGGAAAGAATGGCTGGGGGAGAGAGAAAGGGGGGGGGGGTAAAAAACACACGGCAGCGCAAATAGAGAACGCCGGCTATCACGACAGCAACAGTGGCACGCTGCATAATTCCCCCGTTAAAATTCCTCCGTATCAACAGCGGTCGGAAGCGCACTTGGACTTCCCCCTTTCCTCGCCATCCGGTTTCTTTCTTCATCCCCACCCCCTCCTCCTCCTTCTCCTCCTCCCCCCGCCTCCGCTCCCGATACTTTTTTCTCCACCCTCGCCTCGCTTTGTGCCTTTCATCTGTGCCTCGCAGCCGAGGCCGCCGTGCGGCGAGAGAGAGATAAGTTCCCGCGGTAGCTCCGGAGGGCCGGGACCGTAACGACTAGTGTTGGCCGACTGGTCACTTTCGGTGGAATGGGAAGCCGTTTCCGGGCGCGTGGCCGCAGATACCGACTACTGCCACTGCCGCTTCTGTCGTCGTGAAGGAAGAAAAAATGTCAGGAAACATGGAAAGGCCGAGAGCGCCAATCTACATCATAACTGAACACCGAGACTTACCCAAGACTTTGAAACCTTCAAAAATTGCCCTCAATTTGATGTTTTCTGTCAATTAAGTAAACTACGAGCAGAGTATTATATTGAAGCTCTAATTAACCAGTAATAGGAGTTAGAACAGATTTTTTTTCCTTGACTGCTGCACGCGACGGGGGTGGGTGTGACTTCAAATACCGGCGAGGTGCCCCACTTTGCGCGGGATTTATGGTGGTGGCCGCTGTGGCCGTGCGTCCCGCGGACGCCGCGTCGTGTCCGTGTCCCGCCGCGGCCCGCCGCCGCACCACACACAATGTTGACACGCGCCCCTTTGTGGCGCCACCGCGAGGCCCGCGAGCCGCTAGAGGCGCACGGAAAAAAAAGACTTTGTTGTGGGGATCAACTTTGGTCGATAGGCAAAATTCGATAGCAGAAAAGGAGAATCCGATGCCCACAGCCAGGAGCTGGTTGTCAAGACCGGACACTTGTACGATGAGAACTAAGCTGGGGTTTGTTCTATTCGTACAAGTGTCCGGTCTTGACAACCA